AATATTTTCAATTTCATAAATTATTTTCTACTCTAGTAAAAAAAAATGTTCCTTAAAAATATTTTTCATTCATAAATCAAACACTAAAAATCATTTCCGAAAAAATTTTCTACTCACATACCAAACATGAGGAAATAAATTCAAAATCTACTTGTTTTTCAGGAAAACATTTTCCATGGAAAACATTTATCTTCATACCAAACACACCCCAAGATAAAACTCAAGTTCAAGATCAAGATAAAATTTAACATAAGTCAAGATCAAGATAAAACTCAAATTCAAGATCAAGATAAAAAACCGTCGGATTCAAGATCAAGCTCGAAGCCCTTGAATTCAACTAGAAGTCAAAATCAAGATAAAACTCAAGTTCAAGATCAAGATAAAAGTCAAGATCAAGATAAAACTCAAGTTCAAGATCAAAATAAAGTTCAACATAAAGCTCAAGTCAAGATCAACTCCAAGTTCAAGTTCAAGATCAAAATAGAGATCAAGATAAATCTCAAGTTCAAGATCAAGCTTCAAAGCCCTTGAATTATATTTGAAAAGACGATTTCAGAGGAATCACATAGATTGTAAAACTCGCACTTGAAATAATAAATCGATTGTTGCTATAATATTCCACTCTTTATTATTATTTTCTCTACGCGAATTTTGTTGTTTACCGTCGCAAATATAATTGAAAAGTAATGAGTACCGATAGATGTCATAATCCTACAAAATTGTATCGCAACTTTAATATAAATTGTTCATATGATATACCTTTTTCAAACCAAATAATACTAAAGATTACATTAAATCATTTCCTCTTAAAGGATAAAATCATCCGCTTCAAATTTATTATTTGCCCAAGAACACAAACAAATTAAACATGAATTCCCAATACCAACAATCCAAACATAAGATGCACACGAATTTCCAACGGAACACATTAGAAATATTTTCCAAAAAAACACAAACCAATTAAACATGAATTACCAACAAAAATCTCATAAATACTAACTTTATTCTAATAGAAATGGAAATTCGCAATTAGCATATCAGACACCGCAATATGCCTTGAAAAGATCACTGGGAGGAGTTGTATAGCCAGCTTCTGTGGCACCATACCCAAGTAATCCAAGAATTTCAAATGGCTTGAAAAGCAAAGGGTGTTCTTCATCCACCATTTCTTTTGGTGCCTCGATGAAGTGACCTGGTTTTGATAATGAAAATAATTGAATGGAATATCTATCACTTCCTCTGGGCATTTCAACTCTATGAACAGGAGAATGCAATCGGCCATTTGTCCATGCCTGCATAAATACAAAGATAGTCGCAGTAGTATTTTTGGAGAATAGAGCAACATAGGGTCAACAAATATCAAGATTCATTTTCAGTTTTGCATGAAAATATTGAGCATGTAGTTTCAACAAAGTGTCTTGGTTGGACTCTTCCAGAATATCACTCAGTATGTCAGATTCTTCAAAAATATGCATTTCGGGAAATAATTAACACTAGCATGATAATATATTTAGAGACGTAAGATTCAACAAATATCTTATTGATTTTTTGAGTTTCTTGTCATTTAGCATTATCCCTTTAGAAAATCAAACAACACAGTTCCCAACAAGATAATAACACTAGCTCAAAACTTAACACTTACTGTGAAGGAATCACCGGATAAAACAACATAAGAATTTGGCGAAATGTTGACATCAATCCACTCTCCATTTTTGTTGATTTGCAATCCATTAACTTCATTTTGTGATATAATAGACAAGAAGTTACCATCTGTGTGGCCACCCAATCCAGCTGCTTTATTATTTTCATCTCCACTAGCAATTGATGATCCCTTATACTGTGTAAATCTAAATAGGATGTAATTGGCATTCAATAATTCATCAATGTGATTTTTTAATCCCAAATTCTCCGAAATCATCCTTTTCAACATCTCATCCAATTCCAAAAGAGGATTAGAATAAGATTTTACCAAATTGCTGCAAAAATTAACGCATATATAATGTTAGTATAAACATATGAAGAAGGTTAAACATATTTAGAAATATTTGGAGTTGATACAATTTTTCCACTTGGACACATTAGGTAAGTCTTGTAATTCTTTTTTATTTTTCAAAAAAGGAAGGGGAATCAGACTGTCACTTGTTAAACAGTGACTTCATGTATCAAATATTTGTGGAGTCCATACCCATTGTAGATAAATATAAGGAAAGTTAAAATGTAGAAATGGTTGAATTTTATTTGTTGCTTATTGTTAAAGTCTACAAATGCTGCAACAAAATTCAAAGCTCACCATTTCTTTTTTCAACTAAAATCTTAGCAAGATTTCTACATAGGTGAAAATGTTGAAATCTTGTGTTTCTTGTGATGTCATGGTGACATCATTAGGAGTAGATTTTCCTATAAATAGAGAGCTCTTGCTCATTTCAAATGCACCAAAAAAGAATTACAAAGGAGAAAAGAAGAGTGAGGCATCACAGAAGAAAATAATCTGTGAGGAAAAAAATAGAGAGTGTGAGCGGTATTGTAGTGAGGTGAAAAAATCAAAAGAGTGTTATTTCTTTTGAATGTGTCTTTGGAGTTTTACTCAGACATACAAGTGTAAAATCCTTACTATAGTGATATTTGTTGCTCCTCTCGGGTCGTGGTTTTTCTCTTATTTAGGAGGGTTTCCACGTAAAATCTTGGTCATTATTTCTCTTTTATTCTCGTTGATTAACCGTATTGTTGTGTTTCGCATTTGTTGCCTTTATTACCGCAAATATTATTTATGTTACGGATTTATTCCCAACAATTGGTATCAGAGCACAGGTTCTGCTCATTTACAGAAATATTTTTTGCAGCTTATTGTACTATACTCAATATAAAAAAAATGTCTGGAGTAAAGTATGAGGTAGAAAAATTCAACGGTGATAGCGGTTTCTCAACGTGGCAGAGAAGGATGAAAGACTTGCTCATCCAACAGGGTTTGCACAAGGCACTAGGCGGCAAATTCAAAAAGCCCGAATCCATGAAACTTGAGGATTGGGAAGAAATGGATGAAAAGGCTGCTAGTGCAATCAGATTGCACTTAACAGATGATGTAGTTAATAACATCATCGATGAAGAGAGTACATGTGGCATTTGGACAAAGTTAGAAAATCTATACATGTCCAAAACACTGACAAATCAATTGTACCTAAAGAAGCAATTATATGCACTGCATATGGGTGAAAGTACTAATTTTTTGTCTCATTTAAATGTACTTAATGGACTAATCACGCAGCTAGCAAACCTCGGAGTAAAGATCGAGGATGAAGATAAAGTCATAGTGCTCCTAAACTCGCTGCCATCTTCCTACGATACTTTAGCAACAACCATTTTACATGGTAAGGACTCTATTGAGTTGAAGGATGTCACATCAGCCCTTTTTCTTAATGAGAAGATGAGAAAAACGCCTGAAAATCACGGACAGGCTCTCATCACGGAAAGTAGAGGCAAAAGTTACCAAAGGAGCTCAAGTAACTATGGTAGATCCGGAGCTCGTAGAAAGTCCAAGGTCCGATCAAAATCAAAGGCCAGAAATTGCTACAATTGCGATCAACCAGGACACTTCAAAAGAGATTGTCCAAATCTAAAAATGGGAAAAAGGGAAAGCAGCAGCCAGGAGAATGATGACAACACAGCTGCCATGGTGCAAAATAATGACAATTTTGTTCTCCTTATAAATGAGGAAGAAGAATGCATGCACTTGGCAGGTATAGAGTCGGAATGGGTGGTCGACACAACAACATCTTATCATGCCACACCGGTAAGAGATCTTTTTTGCAGATATGTAGCCGGTGATTATGGCAATGTGAAAATGGGTAACACAAGTTACTCAAAGATTGCGGGAATCGGAGACATTTGCTTAAAAATAAATGTTGGATGCACATTAGTGTTGAAAAATGTGCGCCACGTTCTTGATTTGCGGATGAACTTATTCTCGGAAATTGCTTTGGACCAAGATGGATATGAGAACTACTTTGCAAATAAAAAATGGAGACTCACCAAAGGGGCATTGGTGATTGCAAAAGGAGTTGCTCGTGACACGTTATACAGAACAAATGCAGAAATATGCCAAGGTGAATTAAATGCGGCTCAAGAAGAAAATTCTGCAGATTTATGGCATAATAAAAGAATGGGTCATATGAGCGAGAAAGGATTGCAAATTCTTTCCAAAAAGTCACTCATCTCTTTTGCCAAAGGTACAACGATAAAATCGTGTAACTACTGCTTATTTGGTAAACAACATAAAGTCTCATTTAAGACATCATCTGAAAGAAAGTCGAATATACTTGATTTGGTATATTCTGATGTTTGTGGTCCAATGGATATAGAATCGGTAGGAGGTAATAAATACTTTGTTACCTTTATTGATGACGCTTCTCGAAAATTGTGGGTTTATATCTTGAGAACCAAAGATCAGGTGTTTCAAGTATTTCAAAAGTTTCATGCTCTGATAGAAAGAGATACAGGTCGAAAGCTAAAACGTCTCCGAACCGACAATGAAGGTGAGTACACTTCAAGAGAATTTGAAGAGTACTGTTCAAACCATGGAATCAGACATGAAAAGACAGTTCCTGGAACCCCACTACACAATGGTGTAGCTGAGAGAATGAATCGCACCATTGTTGAGAAGGTGAGAAGCATGCTCAGAATGGCTAAATTACCCAAGACATTCTGGGGTGAAGCAGTTCGGACAACATGTTATCTTATCAATCGTAGTCCATCAGTTCCGTTGGAGTTTGACATTCCGGAGAGAGTTTGGACCAACAAAGAGATGTCTTACTCGCACCTAAAGGTGTTCGGTTGCAAAGCTTTTGAACATGTACCGAAGGAGCAAAGAACCAAGCTAGATGATAAATCAGTTCCTTGCATATTCATCGGATATGGAGATGAAGAGTTCAGGTACAGACTATGGGATCTTGTAAAGAAGAAGGTCATCAGAAGTAGAGATGTAATCTTTCGAGAAAGTGAAGTTGGAACTGCTGATGATCTATCCGAGAAGGCCAAGAAAAAGAATGGTATAGTCCCTAACCTTGTTACCATTCCTTCTTCTTCTAATCATCCCATAAGTGCAGAAAGTATGATTGATGAAGTTGCTGAGCATGAAGAGCAACTTGATGAGATTGTTGAGCAGGGGGAGCAACTTGGTGATAATACCGAGCAAATGGAGTACTCAGAAGAAGAACAATCTCAACCTCTGAGAAGATCAGAAAGACAAAGGGTAGAATCAACCAAATACCCTTCCTCAGAGTATGTCCTTATCAATGATGAAGGTGAGCTAGAAAGTCTTAAGGAAGTGTTGTCTCATCCGGAAAAGAGCCAATGGATGAAAGCCATGCACGAAGAGATGGGATCTCTACAGAAAAATGGCACATACTAGTTAGTTGAACTTCCAAAAGGAAAAAGACCACTTAAGTGCAAGTGGGTCTTTAAACTCAAGAAAAATGGAAATGGCAAGTTGGTGAGGTACAAAGCTCGATTGGTTGTAAAAGGCTTCGAACAAAAGAAAGGTATTGATTTTGATGAAATTTTTTCACCTGTTGTCAAAATGACTTCTATTCGAACTATTTTGAGCATAGCAGCTAGTCTAGATCTTGAAGTAGAGAAATTGGACGTGAAAACAACATTTCTTCACGGAGATTTGGAAGAAGTGATTTATATGGAGCAACCAGAGGGATTTGAAGTATCTGGAAAGAAACACACGGTGTGCAAATTGAATAAGAGTCTTTATGGGTTGAAACAGGCCCCAAGGCAATGGTACAAAAAGTTTGACTCTTTCATGAAAATTCAAACGTACACAAAGACCTATTCTGATCCATGTGTATACATCAAAAGATTTTCTAACAACAATTTTATTATTTTGTTGTTATATGTGGATGACATGTTAATTGTAGGACAAAACAAAGAGTTGATTGCAAAGTTGAAGAAAGATTTGTCCAAGTCATTTGACATGAAAGACTTGGGCCCAGCACAACAAATTCTAGGGATGAAGATTGTTCGAGAACAAACAAAAAGAAAGTTGTGGCTATCTAAAGAGAAGTACATTGAACGTGTACTAGAACGCTTCAACATGAAGAGTGCTAAACCTGTTAGCACGCCTCTTGCGAGTCATCTGAAGTTGAGCAAACAGATGTGTCTTACAACAAAAGAAGAGAAAGAGGGAATGACTAAAGTTCCTTATTCTTCAGCAGTGGGGAGTTTGATGTATGTGATGGTGTGTACAAGACCTGATATTGCTCATGCAGTTGGTGTTGTTAGCAAATTCCTTGAAAATCCTGGAAAAAAACACTGGGAGGCAGTTAAGTGGATACTCAGGTATCTAAGAGGTACTACAAGAGATTGCTTGTGTTTTAAAGGATCTGATCCAATCTTGAAGGGCTATATTGATGCTTTTATGGCAGGTGACCTCGATAATAGAAAATCCACTACTGGATATTTGTTTACATTTTCAGGGGGAGATATATCATGGCAATCAAAGTTGCAGAAGTGTGTCGCACTCTCTACAACTGAGGCAGAATATATTGCAGCTACTGAAGCTGGCAAAGAGATGGTATGACTTAAACGATTTCTTCAAGAACTTGGATTGCATCAGAAGGAGTATGTCGTCTATTGTGACAGTCAGAGTGCAATAGACTTGAGCAAGAACACCACGTACCATGCAAGGACGAAGAATATTGACGTGAGATATCACTGGATTCGTGAAAAGATAGAGGATGGATCTATGCAGGTCATGAAGATCCCTACTAGTGCAAACCCTTCAGATATGCTGACCAAGGTGGTATCAAGGGACAAGTTTGAGCTATGCAAAGAACTTGTCGGCATGTACTCAAGCTAGAAACCTAGAGCTACCTCCTTCAGGGTGAATGGGTCTGGAGGAGGAGATTTGTGGAGTCCATACTCATTGAAGATAAACATAAGGAAAGTTAAAATGTAGAAATGGTTGAATTTTGTTTGTTGCTTATTGTTAAAGTCTACAAATGCTGCAACAAAATTCAAAGCTCACCATTTCTTTTTTCAACTAAAATCTTAGCAAGATTTCTACATAGGTGAAAATGTTGAAATCTTGTGTTTCTTGTGATGTCATTGGTGACATCATTAGGAGTAGATTTTCCTATAAATAGAGAGCTTTTGCTCATTTCAAAATGCATCAAAAAAGAATTACAAAGGAGAGAAAAGAAGAGTGAGGCATCACAGAAGAAAATAATCTGTGAGGAAAAATAGAGAGTGTGAGCGGTATTGTAGTGAGGTGAAAAAATCAAAAGAGTGTTATTTCTTTTGAATGTGTAGTGGTCTTTAGAGTTATACTCAGACATACAAGTGTAAAATCCTTACTATAGTGATATTTGTTGCTCCTCTCGGGTCGTAGTTTTTCCCTTATTTAGGAGGGTTTTCACGTAAAATCTTGGTGTCATTATTTCTCTTTTATTCTCGTTGATTAACCGTATTGTTGTGTTCCGCATTTGTTGCCTTTATTACCGCAAATATTATTTCTGTTACGGATTTATTCCCAACAATATTTTAATGGGAAAAAACTCGATCATTGAAATTTCAGAAAAGACTTATTTATGTTATTCGTTAAAAATTTTGGCTCATTAATGTCATTGTTGTTCAAAAAAAGGCTTATTTATGCCATTATTTTTTAACATTGATTTTGTAAAACCATTTTGATACGTGATCAATTATAATTCTGTCACGTCATCAAACATTATTTGTAGTTTTTTTTCTATCGAATAGATCGTGAGTTCATACCAAATCCTCATTCAAATATTTTAATGTTATTGGCAGTATTTTTATTTTGTTTAAAAAGTGATTAAGAATAGATCTAAGTAATAAACTTTCATCTCTATTTCTATAAGCTACTAAGAATATCTTTTTGAAAGATCGTATAGTCAATCAATTAAGTCACTAAGAATTTCTAATGTCGTACTTTTGAACACTTCTGCTAGGGCGAAATAAAAACATAAGTAAACATACCAGAAATGTTGGTTACCCTGAGGCCAAAAGATATTAGCAAAACTTTGAAGACTTTTAGGATTAAGCAAATCAGGAATACACAAACTCTCATACAATGGCAATTGTGGAATCATTCCCATATATCCATGCGTTGGTTTTTCTGAAATATTTTTCAATTTAGTCTCTAAAGGAAATTCAAATATTTCTTTTGAAATACTAAATGTTTCCTCTCTAATATCTTTTGGAACTTTATCATAAATTGCTTCAAAACAACCATATTCTTGCAAAGCTTCAAAAACTTGAATTTTTTTGGATTCCCATAGTGGAGTGTTTGGTTTTAGATCTTGATGATTTGAAAAATCTATTGTGGGAACTTTAACTAATTTGGTAGATGCCATTAATTGATTATGAACAAGGAGAAAAGAGAAATTGAAGAAAGAAAGACTCAAAAAGTTTATAATTTTTAGAGGAGGAAATGTTTTGGTGTATATATAATTAGCATTTTTTAGTAAACTATTAAGGATAAGAACGGAAGATATTTTTATTTGTTTATGTAGTTTAGGAGTAATTTTTTTTAAAAAAAATATATTAATTTATACATTTTTTCTTTTAATTAAATTATTTATATCGATATAAATATTGAAAAAAATTTAGACAGTATATTTAAATTTAATTTTTTTGCAATACAATATCAAATCAACTGATGTGCTATAAAATGAAATGGAATAATATAAAGAAATAATACTTTGTCATCTTTCAAAACCCGAGGGAAACGTGTATGGCCTAGTGGCGCGCCGCATGTATAAGAAAATAATTTATAACCATATAACAATAATTTAGACAACAAATTTTAATTTATGTTTTAAAATTACAATTTAAATTAAATGATATCATATAAAATATCGAGACGCATAAAAGTTTGAATAAATTGTACATTTCATCTTTCACAAAAAAACGTATAGTATGAATTTGTTTTTTTTTACTTTTTCTATCTCTATTTACTTGCTCATATTTTATTTAACATATGTATTAAAAAATAATAATTAACATAGTAAATTTAAGTGAAATAACTTATACAAAGCCAAGAATATATGAACAAATCGCCAATCTCTTTAAAAGATTTTTTTGGGAGGTGGGGGTGAGGGTAAGAGGTCCCTTAACTTTGAGTTTTTTCAAATATAAATATCACAACATTTTAATTAAAACCTTAATTTCTATCCAAAATTATTTCCACGCTTAAAAATTGACCTTAACACCTAAGAAAATTTAAAATCACTCAATATAATTTTATTCACACATGATGAATTGTTTGAGTCTTAACTTAAAATTTTGAGAATGTTACACTAACTATACTTGTGGCTTAAATAACTCAACGATACAACTTGTTAACTCTTTATATGACTTGTTGACATTATGCATTGAGGAACGAAATGGATTACGAACGTTACATCATATAGATACTAAAGGATTATGTTGAACCATTTTCTCATAAAAGAGTAAAATCATCCATTTAAAATTTATTATTTGTCCAAAAATACACGTACATATTAAATATGAATTCCCAACTGCAAAAGTTCAAACATATGAATCATACGTTGAAGAGGTTTCCCATAAATATATTAATGGTTTTCTGATAGGAATGAATATTAGTCGAAAATTCACAATTAGCATATCAGATACCGTAATATGCCTTGAAAAGATCACTGGGAGGAGTTGTATATCCAGCTTCTGTGTCACCATACCCAAGTAATCCAAAAAATTTCAAATGGCTTGAAAAGCAAAGGGTGATGTTCATCCACCAGTTCTTTTGGTGCCTCGATGAAGTGACCTGGTTTTGATAATGAAAATAATTGAATGGAACATCTATCACTTTCTCTGGCCATTTCAACTCTATGAACAGGAGAATGCAATCGACCATTTGTCCATGCCTGTATAAATTTACGTTGTCAGTATATAAAATTTAAATTATATCTTTATTTACTACATAAAATAAAATTATTTCCCGAAAGACGTTTACATTAAAAGAAAAAGGATTAAAATTGAAAGAGTACTATAAAAAAAGCTCATAATATAAGAAGAAGAACACAAAAAGTATAAGATAAAGGAGAGGATTTTTTTTATTCAAGTGTGTATTTCAAATGGTGAGTGATATCCCTATTTATAGTGTTAAGATATCACTCCCAAAGGTCACCATGATAAATGCTCAATTAAGGTACATAGTTATCTACAAAGGTTCATGTCGCCTTGAAAACGTAGATACATGATAAGATAAGTTCATGAAGAAAGCAAATGCACAATATACTATTCAATGGATTTATAACACTCCCCCTTGGATGTCCATAAATTATGTGCCTCGTTAAAACCTTACTAGGAAAAACCCAATGGGAAAAAGCCCAGTGAAGGAAAAAGAGTACACACATCTCATAATACGCTTTGAATGTTGCCTCATTAAAATTGAGTTTCTATTTTGTATAAACAAGAGAAAATTGTATACACACATGCAAAAACATATATCTTCGTGCTATACACTTAATTATATAATTTAAAAAAATTTAGTTTGATTCAATTGTATACAAATGCAAATTTTATACAGATATTGCAGCGAAAAAGGCCACCGAGCTATACAATTGCAGTGAAATACAATTTTCTCTCGCTTTATACAACAGAAGTGTATAAATTGTGTTTCTGTTTTTGTATTAAGCGAGCGAAAAATATATATCTTCATCATATATACTTATAATTATAAAATATACAAACATTTTACTTCAATTCAATTGTATACAAAGCAAATCTTATACAAAGATTGCAGCGAAATAGGCCAACGAATTATACAATTGCAGTGAAATAGAACAGCGAATTATACAATTACAGCGAAATAGGCCAGCGAATTATACAATTGTATATGTATAGCGAATTATGCAGTTATATGTTTGCTATAGAACACAATTATGCAAACTTTGCTATAGTATACAAATATGATTTTTTTGTTATATGTGAAAGTTGCCCTAAAAAATTAGGGAAAATTGTATATAATAGTAAATTATTAATGAAATCGAATATTGTAAACATAGTTTGATTTAATTGCACCCATAACAAAATATTGCTATTTCCGCCTCTCTTTTTGGTGGAATCTTGTTCACCACTCTTCTTTTGGTGGCAGTCTCGCCCGTCTCTCTCGCTTTTATACAATACAAACGTATAAAATGTATTTATATAAAGGGAGAAAAAATTGTATATATATATATATATTTTCGTTTCCTCTCCCAGATCTCACTCGCCACTCTCCCAGATCACGCTAGCCACTCTCACTCGCCCTCTCACTTTATACAAACACAAATGTATACATTGTGTTTGCGTTTGTATAAAGTGAGAGAAAATTGTATATAGAAATACAAATGCATATTTCATCTTATACACTTATGATTTTACAAACACAATCTTCTCTTGCCCAATTTTTCTTTTGTCTTTCTCCCTTTCTCGCTTTATAGAAACACAGATTATACAATTGATCTTTTGTATATGTATACCGAGATAAATTATACAATTGCTTTCTTTTATAAATATAACTACTTTCTTTATTAATGCATAACAAATTATACAACTGCTTTCTTTATATATGTATAACGAAATATACATATCTACATTTGCTATGGAGCGACAATTATGCAAACGGTAGATATAATATATAAATATGATTTTTATGTTTGTTATATGTAAAGTTAGTCATAAAATTATGGATCTGACCCTTTAACTATTCAACTTTATTGATTCTTTAAAGAAAATTCATCAATTAAAAACCCATAGTTATCGAAAGTTCAAATATTTTAATTTAAATTTTACGGGAACAACCAAAATAATTCTAATTTTCAAAATGACTTAAAAAATCGTTACAACAAATAATACAATTTATCTATCACAAAAAACGTGTAGTAAATTATCCGTCGGATTAACCGCCCTAATGGCTTTCTAATAAATTGCTACTTGCTGATTTTGGAACCAATTGGGAAAATAATATATGGCCGGCGATAATCAACCACGACCAATCTTATCTTTAATAATAATAGGGAAAATAGGGATTTAGGGTGCGTTTGGTGCGGAGGCCAATTTTTTTTATAAAATGTTTTTTTTAAAAAAATAAGTGAATTTTAAATTTATTTTCTCATGTTTAATAAATGTTAAAAAATATTTTTTAATATTTAATTGATCAATGAAAAATATTTTTTTTAAAATATCTTTTATTTTTAGCTTTAGACAAAAAAATATTCTTTAGAAAAACAGTTTCTGAAATGATAATGAACCTCAATAATTGATATAAAATCCGATCCCGACACACTAACTCGAATAAGACTGCGATGACTTGTAACGACCTGTTAGTCGTTTTGAGCAGTAGAGTTTATTTCTAGTAATTACAGTCTGAGTCGACGGATCCCACGACGGACCGTCATGGGCAGGACAGACCGTCGAGGGTGTGTCATTCCAAAACACTTAGAATTCTGAAAAATTGGGTACTAAGAACAACTCTCTGAACTTCGCGACGACATGGCAGGACGGACCGTCGTGGGCACGACGGACCGTCACAGGCCCTTTAGTGAAAAGTTAGTCTCTGAACTTTGTGACGGAAGCAGCAGGACGGACCGTCGCAGGCACGACGGCCCGTCACAGACTGCGTAACCATGACTGGGTCGAATTTCTGTTAAAAGTTTTAAGGGGCGTTTTGGACTATTCCTGCTTATAATTATAAAGTTAGTGGTTGAATGTTAATAATTCAATTTCTTGGGGGTTAAAGGAGATAACCTTGAATTAATTAGTGGGTTACTTTGGTCATCTTTTATACTTAATTATATGGTAATTAGGGTAAAAGAAAAAGAGTTTGAATAAGGAAAAATCAGAATAAAGAGAAAGAGAGGGACGAACGAACGAGAGAGGGAGAAATGAAGAAGAAAGCAAAGCATTGGAAAAGTAGATTTCTTGACTTCAATTCTTCGGTGGAGGTAGGTTATGGTTTTATGCTATTTCATAGTAAACTCTTAATAGCGAATGATATGTGTTGGGTAATTTTGTAAAGTCTTCTATATGCTTAATTGTGTGCTTGCATGATGTGATTATATAATTTTGATAAAATAAGCATGATGAGGCTGTTGAATCTTAAATCTTAAAATCTCTTTGTTAATAATGATGCCTTGGTATAAAAGAAGGCTTGATGAACTAATAGAATGAGGTTAGTGGATCGGGTGTCACGTTCCAACACCAGGATAGTAATAATGGATCGGGTGTCACGTTCCGGCACCAGGATAGTATTAATGGATCGCGTGTCACTTTCCGGCACCAGGATAGTATTAATGGAGCGGGTGTCACGTTCCGGCACCAGGATAATATTAATGGATCGGATGTCACGTTCTGGCACCAGGATAGTATTAATGGATCGGGTGTCACGTTCCGACACCAGGATAGTAGTAGTGGATCGGG